CCTCCTGACCCTAGCTACTATGATACTATGAAGATGACTTGTACCATCACTTAAAAAACAAGTGAATACCTATGAAGTGCCAGAGGACTAGTTGGTCCCTGTGGTGACACTAGGAGGTAACATGGCTGGGTCACGAGAACTGACAGAAGTGAGTTCTGCAATGTAGCCTACACTAGATTGCATATATGCTGTTATCCATGCAACCTCTGCATATCAGAAAGCATTCTGACCTGGCAGCCAGCCTACAGAAGTGGAAGATCCCAGCAAGGCTGCCAGTCAGCTAGCAGCTGGAGTAGATAAGTAAGTTAGGGGGGAAAAAAGCCCACTGGCAGTAGGTTATGGGACTCTTCTGAAGCCACCTTATACTTGGAACCAGCCTGTGGGTAGATGCACAAAGCAACACCACCTCCAACTGGCCTCAAGCACAGAACTTACCAGAGAGCTCCCGGGCCAGTGACCTGTGCCTCATCTGCCGTGCAATGCTCACAATCTCATCGAAGCTGACACTGCCGCTGTGCTTAACTGTGAAAGAGCCAAAGAAAGCCCAATGAGTTCTCTAAAGATCCTTAGCCATGTGTCAGCTCTCTAGCCCTGGTAGTAGAAAGGTTGGGATTCCAGTACATGCTCATTCTTCATAGCATGGCCCTTATTTATCTGTCTCCAGACTTTGGCACAGAGTTACCCACAGAAAGAATAACCCTGTTTCCTAAGCTGGTATGTTTTTATCAGCTCACTACTGGATTGTACCAGCCACTTCATTACAAGACAGGCACAGTGGCAGGTGGCTATTTTAAGGTTTTAGGCAAGTCAAGCTGAAGCCAACTTGGACACAGAAATAAAGGCAGACCATTTCTATCTGTTTACATTCCCCTGCGTTCAACACAGTTCTCAGACAAGTTTTTTGTATGCCTATGGACATAAAACCAAAAAAGAGAGAGCTCTCCTTGGGCTCTTCCCAACATTAAGGAAGCCCCAGATCCTCCTGATAGGAAATACCCACATTTCACAGGTGAGGGGGCTCATAAGTGACAGCCACCCAGATTTCATCTGCACAAAACAACCAGCACTAATAATAGACCCTGGGTAGCTTCTCCACGACAGAAACTTACTGTTCTTCTGCTTCTTCCTGTCCCGTGGAGGCTCCTTAAGAGCTTTGATGATCAGGGCAGAGGCAGAAGGGACAACCTCAATCTGAAGGGGAAGAGGCACAAGTTCTCTTAAAAACTCTAAGGTTAAGAAGTTTAAGTCAGCACTTTAAGTGAAGAACCAATTATTTCCATGTCTAGCTGCAAGTCCTCTCAGCTTGCCAGTTAAAGAGCATTAATTCATTTGCTATATGCTACGAGAGCAATCTTTAAGGTTAATGATAACTCTGCATGGCACATCTCATTTGCACAGACAGACATGCAACTCAAAACTTGTTCCCAACTTTTCGGCACAGAGATCTTCACAGAAAGAAGAGCCCTGCTTCCTAAGTTGGGGATTTTTCTTAGCTCACCACTGGAATATACCAGTCACTCAAGTTTAAGACAGGTATAGTGGCGGGTGGCTGCAAGGCTACACGTGGGCATTTAAGCCATTTTACCCAGCTTGGCAGAGACATTCTCCCAATTACCACCCAAGGGCTGATATTTGTTGGCAAATAATAGTTACAGTTAGCATCAATTTCACAAGGAATTCCTTTCTCTGTGCACATCTTTTAGCTCAATGATCAGGTTTTTCAAGCTGTTTTTGACCCATATCCACAGTATTTGCTTCATCAGTGCACAGTGGGAAACCTAATATTCCACAAGGCTGCTAACATGCGTTTATTGCACCTTTAGCTGCAGGGGAAGCACTATACAACAGGCAGCTGCCTCTGGATGAAGTGCCAGAGAATGCTTAGTGGGACATTGTTTTTAAGGTCTCGTCCAGAAGACCCCCACACAGCAAGCTGCATGGAACTCATTTTATCTACCTCGGAAGGATGAAGGGCTGAGTCGACCCTGCCGGGATCAAAGCTCGTGGTTCCAGCTAGGCCAGGTTTTTCAAACCTGATGCTTGTACCACAGAGCCATCCCTTTTGGCATTCAGTACCTGAGCTTGCCTGTTCTGGATTGTGAGTTTCACCGTGATCCTCAGCCCCTTCCAGTCACCTGTGGCCTTGGCAATATCATCACCAACCTTCTTGGGGGACTGAAAAGAAGAACAGGCATTGAATCAATTAAATTCTCTTCAGTGAGCAGTTGAAGTCCTGCAGCATGTCATGCAGTTTATGCTTTGAGCAGGGACAGCCACATGTATTGCCGCATTCTAAAACTGCCTCTTCTTTTTACCAAATGAATAGCTAAATCCACTCAATTATAGAAAACTTTTGGTCTAATCCTATGATGCTACATGAGAAACAACCCTGGAGGAACCAGTCAGACCAAACAGGCAGAAAACCCAGAAGCAATCAGTTGCTGAACATGCACATTAGACTCCCCCGACCCCATGTGTGCAGACTGGATGTCTGCAGCACTTCATGCTCATCCAGTCACCCCACGTGGGATTATTCCAAGAGGCAGGTAGCTCAGTCTTGCTTTTATGCATTTGTCATTTAAAACGCAGTTAAGTATTTGCTCATAGCCATCGTATCGTTTTTCATGTCGCTCGAGTCAAAGTCCCCAACTGGTATTTATAGGCAAATGAAGAAAACCAGCCCAATTAACCCTGATTTTAAGGAAAAACGCCAACCAGGCATCAGTTACGAGATGTCAGGGAGAACCCGCCAACCGCGCGTGGAAAGAGCAGCACTACACGTTGCAGCAATGCTGAGCATGTCACTTACCAAACCCAGGGGGCCAATTTTGGGGGCCAGCGCAGAGGTGGCACCAACTTCCCCCCCAGTGCATCGCAGGTACACTGCAGGAAAGACAGCACACGAGAAAAAAAAAAGAAGAGACGTGAGCACCACGAGCACGGCCCACGCGGCCTCGCAGCTCCCTGGCTGCCCGCCTCCCCCCGGGCCGGGGCCGGGGCCGGGGCCGGGGCCGGAGCCCTCGCCTGAACACAACGCAGCGGCCTGTCAGCAAGGGCTGTGGGCACAAGCCTAGCCCCGGTGCCTGCCAGGGCGGAGGCCAGGACAGCTACCATGACAGCTAACAGCGACGTGACCGGGGAAGGCCCGGCCTAAGGCGGCCCCGAGCGCGCCCCGCCGGCCGCAGAGCGCGGCGCCCCGCCCTACGTACCGACTTTGATCTCGTTGGGGTCGAACTTGGGCGGCATGGCGGCGCGCGGCGCGGATGGAGCCGGATGCGCGGCGGCGTCGGCAGCGTGTCCGAGCACAGGGAACGAGCACGGAAGAGACCGGAAACACCGCCCCCGTGCTAGATATAGTGGGTGAAATCTCGCGAGATGAGCCCCTGTGGGCCGCCATGTTTCTTGCGGGCAAAAGCCCAGCAGGAAGGCGTGGCTCCCATGTTGGGTGTGGGCAAGACCCCATCAAGAAGGCGTGGCTCCCATGTTGGGTGTGGGCAAGACCCCAGCAGGAAGGTGTGGCTTCCATGTTGGTTGTGGACCGGGCCCAGCCTATGCTGGGGAAGGGTGGACCGGGCTCTGCCTCCCCGGGTGCCGCACGCGCCCCGGAGCGCGCTGGCCGGGGA